GTTCTTTGGTGTTGAAGTTCCGAATAGGAGAAAAGCGACAGGGTGAGTGTTCTCTCATCAAAGGGAAAGCAATGAAGATCTTCGTCAAGGACCTTGAAGGGTTAAAACCATCACCCTCGAGGGTAACGACAGCCCGTGTTTCCACATAGGGAAAAATCCCTCATTTTGTCGTCTCGTTCCCGCAGGTGGAGGCCAGCGACACCCGAGAGAACGTCAGGCCACAAGATCCAGGGACAAGGAAGGTATCCGCCAGACAGCAGAGACTCATCTTTGCCGGGGAAGCAGCTGGAGGACGGGCGGACGCTGAGCGACATACAACATTCAGCAGGAGTCCACGTTGGCACTTGGTGCTGCGGCTGAGGGGCGGGTCATCGAGCCATCCAGAAGATACTGGCACAGAGTACAAAACTACGACAAGATGATCGCTCGACAATAAAAGGAAAAATTTTAAAGACTACGCGGTGTGTGCTTCAAGTGTAGACTCCGAGAGTGAGCTTGTACAGTGGTGTTTATATTACCAGTACGTTGTCTGCTATGGAGGAGTGTGTTGTACTGTGGCATCTCCTCTCTGATGCACAACGAAGAAAAAGACGGCGGGTTCTAGGGGGTGGAGCTTCCTGTTTTCATAGACTCCACCCTCACAACCACCAACACAAAACATTACTCGTAGTGTTTTTTTTCTGTACGTCCCAAGTCACTGTCTTACTTGTCTTTCTTCTCATTTCTGTTGCTCTCCATGCAGGGGTTACGCTCGACTTCCTCCGAAGGGCCACCAACGCCTAAATGAGAGTGTGGCCACTTAGCAACACTGCACAAAAAGAGCGCAGTAGACTGCAAAAAAAAATCTATTTACCCTCTCATGTTGTTGAGATGAACCTTATGATTGATTGAGTTCCGACATAATGTATGCGTTCGTGGGTTGGTTAAGTGGGTGTGTTTAGGATTTGTTCGGGTGTGGCATTGTAATGTGAGAGACTCGCAATGGCGTTCGACCTCAGGTCCCTACAAGTGATCCCTGCTCGCCCAAGCCAGTCGTTAGTGTGAGTTGCCACGTTACCTCTGTCGCGGGTAGTATCAAGTGTTCCCGTAGGCGATGATCGCCGTATTCCACCCTCTGTTACCCCCCGGCAGACTTCGGAGAGATCCACATTGCTGTACGCCGTTTACCTGAAGAAGCTGCAGACGGGCTCAAGGTCTCTGCAGTTATCGTCCCTCTCTTCCACTCCCCCAAGTGAGCCGGCCAGGGTCAACCCCAGACAGCCCTCGACGCAGATTTTGATGGATAGCTATCGCTGTAAGACCCTAGCCAAAATCGGTAGTAGACAATTAGAGGCCGTGTTTGTTCGGTTCTCGTTCTCCTGTTGAATAGATCTGCATGGAAGTGAGGCTCGTTCCGTGTTGTAAGAAGACCCTCTCTATCAGTTCAACAACACTGGATGCTTGTTTGGCCTCGTTCTACTGTTTGATATTGTGTGTGTCATGGAATATCCACTGTCTCTGTGCCAGAGAGGAGCAGATCCAGGGATTCAGTGACGTCTGCGATGGAGTGGAGTTCATTGAGCTCCAGAAGCTTCCGGAGAGCCAGGGGCAGTACCCGAGGCCGCTGCACAAGAGACGGCTCTCCACACCTTCTGGACTGAGTGCTGGGTGAGCCAGTAATTCCCATTCACCAGTCTAAACTGTAGCACTGCTTTATATAGCACGGTTGTTGGTTGGGACCAAATCGGGGACCTTGGATTTTAGCAACATAGATTACATGAAAACGAGCATGTAAAACAAGGTGGAAACAAGATGTGTAGGTATATATAAGCAAGCCCTGCAGTACTATAGAGCACCAATGCATCAGATCTTTTGTCTTGTAGAAAAATGCAGAGAAGTCATTATTTTTACTGGTTAACTGTGCAATTTTGCAAATAGTTTCTCTCTCTCTCTGTATGTGTGTGTGTGAGGTTAGAAGCATGAGACGTACACGTCAATCACTCGACCGAGGATCCAGAAATGGCTGCAGGCCTGGAGAAGGGTGGAGTGACCGAGTGTGCGATAGTCTACTGCATCACGGCAGAGGTGAGGGCCAAGAGACAGCGGACATTCAGCAACTTTGCCACCACCTCACACGTCATGGAAGACATGAAGAACGACTTCAAGGGAAATGAGTGAGTTGGCTATTTACAAATCTACATAGAGTAGTGTTAGCCTGTTTTTCCACCAGAAAAAAACATTGGTCATGGGCATAAATTGAACAGGAAACAACACCCTCTTTGTTCGTGTTTGGGTTAACAAACACATCACGGTTTTGTACCAACCCAAGACAAGAAGCTGTGTCTTTAGAGTGTGTTGTACAATGTACAGTGGAAATGGAGAGTTGAAAGTGAATTTGACTGACCTGTTAGGGTAGCCACTGATACTCAGAGAAACCACAAGTGTGGGGAGGTTTGGCTGGAGTGGTTAAAGGTGGGCAATACATGTGTGCAGGATATCAACTGTAAAATGTCACCACTAATATTATTCTCCTCTGTATGTATGTAGACTGCTGCTGTTACGTCTGGTCTCGTCAGAGGAGTCCCGCGTCCTGGACTCTCTCCTGGCATTCTGCTCTCAAGTATCCTCTCTCTGCAGAGCCAAGGTCAGTGAGGGGGGGCTCCATGCGTAATGTACACCTGGAAACTAAGGGTGGATAAGTCAGACAGTCCTAGAGTGTGGTGGTGTGTGTGTGTGTGTGTGTTGTCTGTAGTTTCCAAAAAGGACATAGAGGTGGAGGCAGAACTGGTGGCTGGTCGACGTAACGCAGCCTGTGAGCCAAAGGAACTCTACGGCATCTTTCTACAGAAGGTATATACACTACACCACGGTCTATAGTCACCTTCTCAATCTGTACATGTGTACACACCTACTTACTTGGACATTTAGACCTAGGCTTTTTTGGCGGATTTGCCTTGTCAGCTCAATTTGTCTCAGCAGCTTATGCAGCAAATTACTCCCATGGCAAAGTGAAGAATGTGCTACCAAGCGGAAGCATTCAAGAACCTAATAGGCTCCGTATGTGTCAGCATGGAATTTTACGGCATTTTATGTATGTCAATGACATTCCTGAAATTATGGCTCACTATTTGAGGATACACCTAGTTGACATCCCCTATCAAACTACAAACACCGTTTAACTCTTTAACTCTTGAGACTCAAGAATTGATATCATGACTATCGACTTCGTAACAAGAGCCTTAACATCCTATCTTTAAATTACGTACTACGTAGACACTATGTTAATCCTGAGTAGTGCTCTTTAAACCTCCATTTTCTCCCTCCGTTTCCTTTTTCCTCCACTGTCCCCTCCTCTCGTCTCCCTCCGTGTCCCCCCCTCCAGTTGAACCTGGCGGTAAGCTATGAGATGACTCTCCAGAACGAAGAAGGCTCTCCTGCTGTACCAGGAGGCTGCGACTGACCTGGAGTCTGCCGTCTCCATCATCTGCGGGAGCCAGACTCCGCCCACCTGGCTGCGGACCCTGCAGGAGGCTCAGTGTGACAGTTGGGACTACCCAAAGCTGGCCTGGCACAACCTCGCTTGGAAGGTGAACGGAACATTCGAAGTGTATCAATTCTGGCATGCTGTGTTTTTCTTTTTTCTTTTGGGAAAACTACTGTATATACATATGTACATATGTAATAGTATGGAGCTACTACTTTAGACATTGAGTCTCACAATTGTTTTGTGTTTGGGGTAAACTGTGTACATATACCAGTTATGTGTAGAGAACTCCTCTTTAAGAGATGGGTTTGACGGATCTTTCTGCTGTTGTCGTGTACTGCAGTACCTGCCAGCCATCCAGACGTGCAGCTCTCCCCTCCTCCACACACACAACCTACCTCCTGACGCGGATAGCCCACCTCCACTTCACTCTGGAGAGGGCGTGGACCGTGTCCGATCTGGTCATCTCCACGCTCCACGCCATGGCCAGGCAGAAACGAGCTCTCAAGGTTGGTCTGTGTGTGTGTGTGTCAGTGAGAAGAGGGATGGGGAAGGCGAGGGAGAGGGAGGGGAAAAGAGAAACGGCAGAGAGATAGAAAAAGGTTGGGTGTGATGCAGCGCAAGGCCAAAATCAATGATGTCTTATTGTGACGCTGGGGCGTTGTTGGAGTTGTGTATAATTGCATGTTTCACACAATGGTGCACCTGCAGTCCTTTCTCTAGGACAGACACTGAATTCGCGACAGCCTCTCTAATAAGAGACACCGTTTTCTATTGCAGACACAGTATCCTGCGTGTAATTGTAACCCTGAATAGGTCACCTTACTAATATGATGGACACTTTCTTCTGATCCCATTGGGAAGGGTTAAGACGTGTTGCTCATAAATGGTCGTCTTTTTGAAACGTCCCTCCCCTCTCGCAGCTGCCCTGCCCGACGGGTCGTATTGATTGCTGAGGCATACATGGCTGTAATGCAACAGTGTTCTGCGCCATTATGTCTCGAGTGAACCCGACACCCTGGTGACTTCACCCCAACCACAAACCCTCCCTCCTCCTGGTCCGCGCCCCAGGCTGGAACTCCGCCCTCGAGAAGGTGACCCTATCAACCTTACATATACAACGGCTGTTTTTGGTATGTGAAAATGGCCCCTACTTTGGTGAGTTATTGCAGTGTGCAGAGGGAATTATCTACCAGCATGTGGTATAATAAATTTATTTCACAGACATGAGAGCAAAAAAGATTGGTGTTAAAGGCTGTTGGATTCATTATGAATTGAAATCTGATCTCCAAAAACATGAAAAAACACACGAAAAAAAACATAACTAGCCTCATTCTCGTGTTCATTTCTCCGCCATCCTACCATTCAGTCTCCCTCCTCCTCAGCTCACTAATTGGAGGCCTTGTGGACTGATGCCTGCCAAAAAGCATAGAAACAGAACACTTCCTTATTCACACTCTCATCATATGGAAATCTCACCCGTTCCTTTTGAAGGGGTTACGTCATTATTACATCACCGTGAAAATGATTTGTAATTGATGATTGATTGTAATTGTTTGCAGTGAGATCCAAGGAGATGGTGGAAGATCAAAGGGAGGAAGCTCAGGGACATCATCATATCTAAAGACTCGGTTAAGCAAGCTTACCTGGTGGGTGTCAGAGTGGAGCTTGCTGGGGGGGCGAATTAACCCCTTCCCTCCATGGCCCTGAATTAGGGCCTCGTGCTGTTGTGTCATGAACACCTCCATAACATGCCACCTCTTTGGCGACCAAAGCGAGCCCGACCAAGTGTCGTGAACTGTGCAAATGCATCTAGTGTTGCACCCTTTGCCTTATATTATAAACCTTTTGCTGGTTATAGTATTATATGTATATAATATATACATAAAATTTGCACTTGTTCGCCGTAGATGCCTGTGCTCAACATAGTCACTGCCTTGCATTAGTATAGTTATGTACTTGACCTAGTGCTAGTATCACATTGTACCAGGGACAATTTGGGGTGTAAACACGGGATACGTTTCTGCTGATGTGTATTTTTTTCTTATATGTGTAGATGCTGGTGTTGAGATGTGGATGATTCGAGAATTCAAGATGCCGGGAAGAGAAGGATGGGCTTTAGAGGCGGCCACCAAGATGGCCAAGTCTCAACGGTCAGTGGGGGAAGGGAAAAGTGGCCTTGTTAATTCATATTTTTAGTCCATGGTTACTCAGTGACCGCAAGAAAAGAAAAGTTATTAGACAGAGGTTAGGACGCTAAGAGCATTGAAACTGCAATTTTGTGCCTGAAAACACTAAGGCATTCACGATCTGCATGCTGCACAACCTTGTACAACATAGCAGCAGTCAAAAAATTACAATTGCGAGCACGTGAAGAGATGGCACACCGACATATTCTCATTGCACCCAGAGCTTTCTGACACACTGAGCAACGATTAATGTCCTGTGTGTTGTTTTCAATGACGTAATCACCTACTCAAACATATACAATGCACGGCCCAAAGCTACACACTACTCATATCAGTTCAATCAGAGTTCAATCATCTACACTACTGTATGTTCTTGTGTGCATAACACGGCGTAGTTTCTTTAGCGAGTTGCACACACGACACCACTCAATTCTTCTCTGTGTCGTACGGAGGGCAGAGGCAGAGGCCAGACTCCACACCGTGGCTCTACAAATAGAGAACAGGGACTCCGTTTGCGTTAGCTTGTTGCCCGCACAGGCCTTCATTGCATCGGCGTCCACGCACTCGAACGTGGTGCGGTGTTTGTCCGTGTGCGCAGACATGAGGAGGAACCGCTGGAACTATTCCGTCCCGACGACGACGGGCATTTGTAGGTCCAGGGATATTATCTTGGCGGAACGAGTGGCGACGTAGCACACTGCGCAGGTACGTCGTGGTTGTGAAGGCCCCTGGTCCATGGTAATCGATGGGTGTTCTTGAAGATCTCGTACCCACTGCCATAAATGTACGAACCGGTTGGCGATGCCTGGACAAAGTCCCGTTCTTGGTTCAAATGTGAGCCACTGGTAGTACGGCCAGCCACCCGTGGCTGAAGTGGCTTCCTCCGACCTTCTCCACGAGTAGACCGTCCGGCTCCTGTGCACATTGCGTGGCCACATCACGTAGGCCACCACCTCCCGCCGCCTTAGGTTGGAATCTAGCTCTCATGGTAGGCTCAGTTCAAGAAACACGGAGTCTTCGTCTGATCGGTTTTTGTCTTCGGTTGTCCGTTGCCAGAGAAGGCCGATTTTGAAGAGTAAGAACTAAGGTGTTCTCTTTCAATGCCCCGTCGCCACATCTCTGCCAGTGAGACGTTCACAGAAACTGTGTTTCAAATCCACACAGCTCTACACTAACGTGGGCTCCAAATCCTATAATAACAGTGGTATTCTAACTTTGGCTGTCGCATACGTAATCAAATGCCTTCGGTACCCTAATAGAAGTAAAGGCTGGGAGAACTGGTTCTAAAGAGGTTGCCGAAGGAGCAGATACGTATCTAGTATGTTGGTCAGAAATGGTGTGTGGATATTTTACCGCCGTTGCCCGGTGGCAGAGAAATGCCAGAAGTCGCCAGCAGGGAGCAGGAGCAATGGACCAAAACACTGCAGAACAGCGGGTTTCCAGTCATGGCGTTAGGGGGGATTCAAGTCAGATTTCGAGAGAAGAAGGTCTTGGCTGGGGTCAGTTGAGGATGAGGGAATAGCAACTATTATCGACATCTCTGCATGTTCAACAACACCTGTGAGGAGGATATTTAATTAACCCTCGGCGACCTGATCTGCTCGCTCTGTGTACCTTGGGGGCTCAAGAAGTCGTAACGAATGCCATGTATCGACTCCCGCATGCTATCTACTACTGTTGCTAGCCCGTGTCAGACTCAATGCATAATAGCCCAGCCCATCAATTAGCAGTATCGCGCATGCGCAGTTCGCCGAGGGTTTGCACTTTAGTGCTTTTCATTATGTCAGCGAAGTTAATTCTTCAACCTAGCTAAATGTCAAAAAATTATGCTCAATGGTAAAAGTTGGGTGATGCTGTGCGGACACCACAGTAATGCATGGGTGATGGCTGTTTGTTTCTCCTTCATGATCATGTGTTTTTGGGTGCAGTGAAAAATTCTCGGCGTTTTTTCAAGGGGTGGGGGGTTATTTGTCTAGAAAATGGCTTTTGCCCCCTGAACTATTGCAAATTATAGTGAGAGTAGTGTATATGTGTGTATTTCACAAGAAAGTGCCAACCTAGGATTTGAAGCTAAGAGGGTTAGGAATTTTGAACAATGCAAAAACCACTCGGTGGGGTATCCAGGTATCCAATTGAAAATGCAATTTTGTGACTCAAAACTACCAGAATTCACGTTGCATGCTGCACACCTTGTACAACTATAGCAGCAGTCAAAAAATTAATTGCGAGCACGTGAAGAGATGGCACCCGAATTATTCTCATGCACCAGAGCTTTCTGACACACTGAGCAACGATTAATGTTGAGTGTTGTTTTTCAATGACGTAATCAACTACTCAAACATATACAACTGGCAAAGCTACACACTACTCATATCAGTTCAATCAGAGTTCAAATCATCTACACTACTGTACTGTTCTTTGTGTTAATAACACGGCCAGTTTCTTTAGCGAGTGCACACGACACAACTCAATTCTTTCTCTTGTTCGTACGGAGGGCAGGGCAGACTCCCACACCGTGGCTCTACAAAATAGAACAGGGCTCCGTTTGCGTTAGCATGTCCCGCAAGGGCCTTCTTTGCATCGGCGTCCACGCACTCGAACGTGGCGCGGTGGTGTGAGTAGTGCGCAGACATGAGGAAACCATGGAACTCTTCGTTCCACGACGACGGGCATTTGTAGGTTCCGGGGATCATTATCTTGGCGGACCGAGTGGACACGTAGCACACTGCGCAGGGTACGTCGTGGTTTTGAAGCAGCTTGTCGACCGACGGGTTGTTCGCGTAGACCTCGTACTCGGTGCCGTACATGAACGAACCGCTTACGGTGCCAGGACCAAAGTCCTCGTTCTCTGGTTCCAATGTGAGACACTGGTAGTTACTGCCGCCACCTCGGTGGCTGAAGTGGCTTCCTCCGACTCTCCCCGAGTAGACCGTCTCGGCTCCTGCTGCACAGTTTGTGTGGCCCCACCTCACGTAGGCCACCCCACCTCCCGCCGCCTTATGTTGGAATCTAGCTCCTTCATTGTAGGTCTCCATTTCCGACAACACGGAGTCTTCGTCTGACTTGACTTGGTGTCCGTGCCAGAGAGAGGCCAGTTTTGCAGGTAAGAATTCATGTGGTTCCTCTTTTCAATGCCCCGTCGTCCCATCTCTGCAGTGAAGACCGTACAGAACTGTGTTTCAACTCACACATTGTTTTACACTAACTTGGGCTCCAAATGCCTATTAATAACAGTGTGTATTCTAACTTTGGTTGTAGCATACGTAATCCAAATGCCTATCAGTACCTAATAGAATTAAAGTCTGGAGAACTGGTCTAAAGAGGTTGCTGGAGAAGATACGTATCTATATTGGTACAGAAACTGTGTGTGTGGATATTTTACCGCCGTTGCCCGTGGCAGCAGACATGCCAGTAGCCAGCAGGGAGCAGAGCACGGCCAAACACAGCAGCAGCAGTTTTCCAGTCATGGCGTTCGATCCAGTCAGATTCTCGGAGAGAAGAAGGTCTTTGCTGGGTCAGTTGAGGATGAGGGAAGAGGAGTTTGTTCCTTGTTGATGAAGGTCTCCGCAGGTTTGTCGGCACCACTGAATGTGCTGACTTTTATACCGTCTCGTGTGGTGGTGAGGGGTCTAATGTTCAGGAATTAGGATCCACCTACTACGCTGTTATGTATGCTAATTGACTGGTTCTATATCACTCTCACTGCAGTAAAATGCGAAGAAATGTGAGGGAGTGGTGAGAGAGAAATGGGGGAGAGCTTCAGACTGTTTTGATTAATTCACGTTGTGTCTAAAGTTACCCCAACTCCCAGAGTAAAATGCCACCCTCACCTGCCTCCCTCTCCTCCCTACCTTCCCTCACACTTGCTCAGGTCGTGAATATCATTGCAGCTTGACGCACAGGACAGGAGGACGTATGGAGAGCCGGTGACAACGCACGTGGGTACAGGCATATATACCTAATACCGCAATCTTAATGCACCACTTACAGCAGCTATGCGCAGCTAAGTATTAGAGGAATGGCTAATTAATCAATTAATTTTAGACCTCCCCAACATACACACACACACAAGATACAGATCTGAGACCTTTGAGAAGTATCCGACCATGTGGCAGCCCCGGGAGTCGTACTCAGTCATGACGTAGAAGAGGAAGGGCTCGACTGCGAAGTAGAGTGTCTTGTTCTCCAGGAACAGCTTGGCCATGAGACACAGGCTCTGGCAGTAGACCTTGTGTTTCTCTCCGTCCACCTCGAAGACCGACGTCTTCCCGCAGCGGTAGATCTCCCTGCCCGGGGGGTGACGCCACATACACAGTCCCTACAGAACACAACATCGTCATAAAGAGGTGAGGTACTGTATGTATTATGTGTGGATTATGCTAATGTACCAACCAGCCATTACATGGGGGAAAAACCACGTCAAACCTCTTTAGTGGGCACATTTCAATGTTTTGATGGTTAGTTACAAAAGTATGTATGTACCATATGCCACAAAAATTCATCACAGAATCACGAGACACACAACAAGGTACGTAAGGTGGACTAACTTCCACTATCCTCCATTGTTAGATGTGTTTTTAGAAACAGGTGAGTATTCGCGCTTGGTGTATCTCCATGGTTTTCTACTAACAGGTGAGCATTGTGTCTCACATGCGTTAAAAACATGAAACCTTTGTTTACAACGTAAAAAACTTGAAACACTCTGTGTGCAAGGAAAAAACTTGACTAACAAGGACACACACACAGTCATTGGACCACAGAACCAGCCCTCCCTCTCTGTATATAGGGAATCCTCCTCCTCCTAACCTTCTTCTCCTCCAGCAACATCTCCTCCTCTCCCTCAACCACAGCGGCAGACGAGGGGGACAGGAGAGGGAGGGCCTCGGGGCGAACCCCTCAGGGGGTTGTGGGGGTACTGATTTTCCTTCATTTGGGGGGCAGGGGGTAGGAGTGGTAGTGGTAGAGGAAGATGGAGGTTGGAACGCATCATCTTCGGACAAGAGGGAGGAGTCGGAATTGGGGGATTGATTCACAAGTCATTTGCTTCGACGAGTGACCGACTTTGCCAACGAGTCTTTAGCCGGCTTCTTGGGGTGTGGCTTGCTGGGGGAAGTGGGCGGAGCTTGAGTCGAGGAAGAGGAAGGGATTTTTGATGCAGCCGCACCTTTTCGGAGTCTGTCGCAATAAAGAACATAACCACACATTCATTTAGAACACTCAGATATACACTCAATGTGCCTGTGCCATGATATTGCTCGTAATCTTAGTAGTTTGTAAGCACCTACATATAGCTACTTTAGTAGCACTAGCTCAGATAGTTTCTACATACTATGAAGGCACAGTGAGCAGTCTGCGGTGCAACACGAGAAATGATGAGAAATGATGATTGATGCGAAGTCACACTTATGAAACTTCAGAGTAGATGGCTGTCTGAAATTTCAGACACTACTACATCTTAGATATAGAATAACTAAAATTTAGGGCTAAGGGGGAAGCTCAGTTATTCTATATCTAAGATGTAGTAGTGTCTGAAATTTCAGACAGCCATCTACTCTGAAGTTTCATAAGCTTCCTCCTAAAATTTAGGGCTAAGAGGTATCCGATTTCGGATGGGCACTGACCGCATCTGAAAATTGAAGGCATTTTTGCGCCGATCCCACGACTAACGCCCACGCAACTCTTTTACAATCTTAACCCTTAGCCAGCCACGGGCACATACAGTATATATGCCCAGAGCGCCCATAAGTCCATAAGAATTTATATAGGGCTATAATACAGTATTAGCGCACTGTACTGTATTATAGACAGATTATATTATTCTTATAGACTTATGGACACTCTGGGCATATTTATGTGCCCGTGGCTGGCTAAGGGTTAAGATTGTAAAAGAGTGGCGTGGGCGTTAGTCGTGGGATCGGCGCAAAAATGCCTTCAATCGGTAGCTTACATTAGCGCGAAGCTCGTTGCACCTTCGTTTCTCCCAATAACTGGCGTACGTGCGAACGCGGACGCACAGTTACTGGCCTCCGTTACGCCCCTTTTTCTGGCCTACGCATGCGCACTACAGCGCTTCTCATGAATTTCAGTATTTCAGGAAGGGTCATGAGGTCACTGGTCACGTCGTTGCAGCCCGCCATTTTTGCCCCTGGAAATTTAGTACCACGCCTCTTTCGCGATTGTGCATGCGCAGTAGGCGTTTGCGTCACGTGCCTTGACTTTTCGACGATGACATAATTCAATAAGAAAGGGTGCGGTTATTACCATCACAAGCGTATTGCGGGAGTGTAAATTGCCTCTCAGTTTGGAAGGGCACTATTCTGACCGTGATTCTACTGTGGAAAAGGAGAGGGAAAGGGAGGAGAGGTTGATGCTTGCCATTCGTTGTGACTTCCTGAGCCCCCAAGGTACACAGAGCGAGCGGATCAGGTCGCGGTAAGCCTATATAGTACGATTATGCATATTGGCTTTATTGCTTGTTTTCACAGCATATCTCTCAAACGCAGTCGTTTCAGGAAAATCGCCTTTTTTTTTCCGGGCTCGCGTAGTTCGGAAGCCGTTGGTATCGCTAATGGGCCGCCTCGTAGCCTGTAGTGCCAGAATAAGCGTCGACACACACACACACAGACAGACAGACAGACAGAACGACTACTGTAACCCTCGCTGCGCATGCACGCCGAGGGTTAATAAAGACCCACCTATAAGGCTCTCCATAGTGCCTGCATGAGTTATTGGCCAGTGACAGGACAGTAGTAGAGCTGTTGGTTGAACCAGGAACCTTCTTCTGCTGAATGGAACCAGAGAGACGGACAGACAGAGATAGAGGTAATTGATTTTCTTAAAATTCACTGGCCATTAACCCTAGGCCTTGCACACACACAGCTGGAGCACACCAAAGGGAGGGGTGTGTGCCCACTGGGTGGTGATACAGGGCCATCATAGAGTAATGGCCTCCAAAAATTGGGTTTGTAGGTTCCCCTCCTAAACCCCATTGAATGGGCCAGCTCTAGAGATCCAGCCAGCTTAGCCCAGGGATGCTAGCCCTCACCTTATATATAATATACCAGAAAAGAGCAGGAACAGTTGTGGTTTATGTTAAAAATTCATTGCTATATGGGAGTGGCCTACTCACAACTAACAGGTTTTAACATGCAACCATGCAGTTGACCATAGACCAAAGAGCCACACAACTACTGAATATGCCATACTTTAGTAGTAAGGATAAGGGCAAGAATATGAGACACGGTATATACTATGGTTACAGGATACATTGTGCACGTGAAACCGTCACCCACACCAACGCAGAAAGTATGTGGCCCTACCTGTGCCGAGACAGTCACAAGCTGCCTTACACAGGCATTACTGGACAGTCTTTTTAGGCTCAGTTCTACATACCTACAACCAGCAGTACGTGTAGTGTTTCTCTGATCTCTGTGCCACTCACCAATTACCGTAGAAAGTAATGTCATTCTATGTCCGCCATGTGTGTAAGTACACATCTACACCACTGACTGCGATGGTGACCAGAGTGTGTAGAAAGACATGTGCATACGATAGCCTTGTCCGTAGGCTCTTTGTGGGATGGGAAAAGAGCCTGGTACACACTGTATGCGCATACTAATAGTATGGACGTGTATCAAACAAAACTTGGCAGCCATCGTGATGTCACACTCATAGTGTGTCTCTGATCTCTGTGTCACTCACCAATTACAGTAGAAAACAATGTCGTTCTTGTCCTAATGTCTGCCATGTGTATTACATCCACACCACTGACTGCGATGGTGACCTGCACAGAGTGAGTAGAAAGACATGTGTATACGATAGCCACATCCGCAGGCTCTTTGTGGTAGAGGAAAAGAGCCTGGTACTCTTACTCTGGTAATCTTACAGCCAGGAGGAGGACAGCAATACAACAATACGCATGGCTATCCTGAGGGAAAATAAAGCACAGCTACTCATTCGGAGCACCTTGGTTACACCCAGTGATTGCTTTTGTACTTTTATACGGCATGTGAGGGAAATAAAGGACAGCTACTCATTGACTGATACACCCAGTGATGCTTTTGTACATAGGCTCTTGAGGGAAAGATAAAGAGACAGTACTCTTATCGGTGATTACAGCCAGGGATGCTTTCTGTACTTTTAATACTGGCATTGAGGGAAAATAAAGGACAGTACTCATTCGGAGTACCCTGATTACACCCAGTGATTGGTTTTGTACATTTATATGGCATGTGAGGGAAAATAAAGGACAGCTACTCATTCGGAACACCTTGAATACACCCGGTGATTGCTTTTGTACTTTTATACGGCTTGTGAGGGAAAATAAAGGACAGCTACTCATTCGGAACACCTTGAATACACCCAGTGATTGCTTTTGTACTTTTATATGGCTTGTGAGGGAAAATAAAGGACAGCTACTCATTCGGAATACCTTGATTACACCCAGTGATTGCTTTTGTACTTTTATACGGCTTGTGAGGGAAAACAAAGGACAGCTACTCATTCGGAACACCTTTATTACACCTGGTGATTGCTTTCGTACTTTTATATGGCATGTGAGGGGAAAATAAAGGACTTTACTCATTCGGAATACCCTTTATTACACCTGGTGATTGCTTTTGTACTTTTATATGGCATGTGAGGGGAAATAAAGCACAGCTACTCATTTGGAATACTTTGATTACACCAGGTGATTGCTTTCGTACTTTTATAAGGTATTTTGTACTTTTATACAGCATGTGAGGAAAATAAAGCACAGCTACTCATTCGGAATACCGACTACACCTGGTATCCTTAGGAGATAGCAGTGGAAATGTATATGTATTATGATATTTTGTAGCTCACCAGTAGCAATCCTGCAAAACCTAACAAGTTTTGCCTCTTTCAGCATCGGTAGAAGAGAAAGAAGGGGGGGAAATGAGGAAGGAGAGAGTACGCAAAGATAGGCTAGCAATGCTCCAACCTACTCCCTTCCTCCCGGCTAGCAATGCTCTCCCTCCCACTCCCCTCCCCTTGGCCAGCAATGCTCCAACCTACTCCCTTCCTCCCGGCTAGCAATGCTCTCCCTCCCACTCCCCTCCCCTTGGCTAGCAATGCTCCAACCTACTCCCCTCCCCTCCGCGTACCCCCTCCCCTCCCTTCGGCTAGCAATGCTCTCCCTCCCACTCCCCTCCCCTTGGCAAGAGAGTATCACAAATACTAATAGTAATGAAAAGCACTGAAGTGCAAACCCTCGGCGTACTGTGACGCGCACGCGTAAGTAAACGCATGCGCCGTACTACTAATTGCTGGGCTGGGTTTAGTTTTAGCTGTTACCCGTGGTCTCTTGCCAGCTCGCGCAGAGTCTGACGCGGGCTAACTACACTACTAGATAGCATGCGAGAGGCGATACACGCCCTGCGTTGCATCTTCTGGTGCCTCCGAGGTACGCAGAGCACGCGGATCGATCATGCCGTAGTAAGCCGTTGTGTATTTGCATATTGGCTTTTTCGCGCTCTAGCTTTGCAACGGAGCGTTTTCAGCGAAAACCACACATATTTTCTGACCTTCATTGCCCGTTCAGTAGGTGGTATCCTTTGTGAGACGAACGAACACTCGAGAAGTGAGATGACGAGTAACAGACAGACACACAGACAGACAGACAGACAGACCCAATGAAAAGCACTAAAGTGCAAACCCTCGGCGAACTGGGGATGCGCGGTACCGCTAATTGATGGGCTGGGCTGCTATTAGTATGCGTTTACTCGTGATCTCCCGCTAGTAGCTCGCAGAGAGTCTGACACGGGCTAGCTACAGTAGTAGATAGTATGCGAGAGTCGATACACGCCCTTCGTTGTGACTTCTTGTGCCTTCAAGATACACAGAGCAAGCGGACGACCCGGTCGAGGTTATAAGCGCATGCGCATTTTCCGCAGCGATAAAAATGGCCGACTACGCATTAGCCGTACAATGGTGGAAGCGCTCTAGCTCTGCAACGGAGCATTTTCAGAGAAAACCCCACATATTTTCTGACCTTCGTCGCCCGTTGGGTAGATGGTAGCGTTTCTGGGACGAACAGACATTCGAGAAGTGAGATTGAGAGTAACAGACAGACAGACAGACAGACAGACTGACAGACAAACCCAACTACAGTACCCTCGCTGCGCATGCGCGCCGAGGGTAATGAAAAGCACTAAAGTGCAAACCCTCGGCGAACTGGGAATGCGCGGTACCGCTAATTGATGGGCTGGGCTGCTATTAGTATGCGTTTACTCGTGGTCTCCCGCTAGTAGCTCGCAGAGAGTCTGACACGGGCTAGCTAGCTACAGTAGTAGATACACGCCCTTCGTTGTGACTTCTTGTGCCTTAAAGATACACAGAGCAAGCGGACTCGGTCGAGGTATATAAGCGCATGCGCGTTTTCCGCAGCGATAAAAATGGCCGACTACGCATTAGCCGCAGAATGCCGGAAGCGCTCTAGCTTTGCAACGGAGCATTTTCAGAGAAAACCGCCTTTATTTTCTGACCTTCGTCGCCCGTTGGGTAGATGGTATCGTTTCTGGGACGAACAGACATTCGAGAAGTGAGATTGAGAGTAACAGACAGACAGACAGACAAACCCAACTACAGTACCCTCGCTGCGCATGCGCGCCGAGGGTTAACAACAACACAACTCCCCAGTCAAGAATGCACATTTTGATACAGGTAGAGTGCACAATTATACTACGCAGTCATGTGAGAGTCACATGACCTTCTCCATTACACCCTGCACAACAACAACACAACTCCCCCGTGAAGAACACTCCGTTTTGTACAGGTAGAGTGCACAATTATACTACGCAGTCATGTGAGAGTCACATGACATCATGTGACCACTCACCTGGGGTGGGGCAGCGGTTGCCTTTGCTGGCCTCCACCAGCGTGAAGGGGATTCTCTTGCGACCTTTCTTTCTGTGACTGGTGGAGGTTTTCTTACGAACTGGAGTGGAGCTCGCTCCCAACTGGACAGATTACATAGATAACACGTGATCGTGATGCACAGGACCTCTTGTTGGACTGTGCATGTATGCAGAGAGAGCACGTGTCAACAAAACGGTGAGGTAGAAAGGCAAGGCAAAGCAAACAAGTCAACTACACCCAGGACAACTAAAGAGGATGTATGTATGTATGTACATCAATGTCGAGAACCTGCCGTTGGAAAAGGGTTTGGGGAGAAAGGAGAGAGAGGTGGAGAGAGGGAGAGAAGGGGGAGAGAGAGAAGGGAGAGAGAAGGGAGAGAGGGAAAGAGAGAGAAGGGAGAGAGAGGGAGGCAGACCTTGAGTCTGTGTCGGGCGTGAGAGGGTCTGGGGTTAGAGGAGGAATCGGGAGTGAGAGAGGGGGTGGTGTTGGTGGTGGTGGGTGCACTCCCAGAGTCTGTCAGAGGGGACTGAGAGTGAACTGTCACTCCCTCGTCCTTGTCCACCTTCTCCGCTGACTACAACACACACACATAAGACTACTGAACCAGTAGGGAAGGAGTGTTGCATAGAGAAAATGCCCGCTGACTGCTTGTCAAATTGTAAAGGGGTCTACTGCCCTACCAATCAAATCTCGTGTGGTTTTTCTCAAAGATCAACAGTTGATGAAAGCTTGTTGCATCGTTTTTGTATGAAGTTTTATCCCTCAAGAGAAGATATCACACGAACATGGAATTTACAACATAATTCGTCAAGCCCGTTACCCTAAGATGTAGGGGTTTCTCTAATTCATGCCCACTCAGACCCCTTAACCAAGGAACGCACCTTGATGGGAGTGGCCAACTTGCGGAGGGTCTCTCTAGCTCTAG